TGATGGCCTGACCATTGTTGCACAATTCTTCACGTGCACCCCGTTGTTGTTGCAGGTGTTTTCACTAATTTTTGGCTGCCATTCAGATTATTGCGCACAGATCCAGCAGTAGTGGTTCCGAATGCTGTCAGTGAAATACTACATCAAGCATATTCTTCGATGCGGCTGTTACCAAAATAGTCTGATGCAGCTGAGATCACCCATCCAGGGAGTTCAGTCACGAGCTAGTCCGAACAACTGTGATTACTGCTCTGGATTGCGCTCCGTGCAAGGACTGTGTTGCTGCTGCACAAAATTGGGCAAAGCACAGAAACACTGAAATGCTAGTTGCAGTAAAGCATTTTGTGTACCACGCCACAACTTTACCGAAGCTTCCTATCCTTTCCGAAGCTTACATCGCTGGTTACGTTCGTTGGCAGAATTCTCTGACTTTATAAATGAGACAACAGAAGCTCTCCGAAGATATAAGTACGGAAATGGCGGAGCAGATGTTCAAGACAGCTGTTTCAGACTGTCATTTTTTCTCCTCAACAAGTCGTCTGTGTTTCATCGCTTACTGTGTGTGAATATTATTTTTTCAGTTTTATGCTTTTTTGAATGACTGATGCAAAAACGCATTAAGCTGGAATCCTATCATGTGTTTTTATGTGCCTTTATGTGTGTTGGTGTGTGTGTCTGTGCATGTGTATCTGTTTTTATGTACATGTTTGTGTGTATATGTCTGTCTGACATACGAAAGCTATGAAGCTGAAATTTTGAGGGACAAAGTTCTGGACTGCGTGCAGGCGACGAATTTGAAATGAACTCTCATTTCACTTCGTTCTTGATTTTTGATCATATTATGGTGCTCGTGCTGACCTGTCGGAAACAGCAAAAGTTTAAACTTGAGCTTTTGGCAGTAGTGTGCTGTAACGTATATGACACGGTATCAGCTCCTGTCTCTCCTACTGTCAACGTACAGGCATGGTCTTATTTAGCTAAACGTAAAGGCCCAGTAGTCAGGTTACAGCCGGCGCAAAGTTGCTTCTCGGATTTTTGGTCTCGTATTGCGTTCAGTACGAGGTCAAAAATCTGAGAAGCAAGTTTATGATCTTTCGGCCCAGTTGAATTCGTTTTCGTTTTGCTGATTAAAATGGATTTTTTCCAGGATGATCCTAATTTTGATTGCTGCAGTGCTTGATGTCGCTGCACCCGAAAGGTATGTAATGCATTTTTGTAGAGGTATCTGAACAAATAAGT